CCTTTCCACAACACGGGGACGCGCCTGGTAGCATTCAGCTCTGCTTAACCCGAGGGTATCCATGGTATGACCATTTGTTTTACATCCATTCGACAGTGGACGCATTGCGTTCTAAAAATAATTTAGCAACCCGAAAGTTCCCTACCGATGTGTTTCTTTACCTTAGCGACTACGATTTTGGAGCGTCAATAGTGCAAGCAGTAGGTTGATGCAGCTACTTATGTTGCCACTATGAAAGAGGAATCACAAAGTTTTTCTAGTCAGTACAAATACCCCTTCTCCTTTGAGGAGCATACCTCGATTTCTATTTCCTTGTTTTTAGGCCTATTTTGATCGACCATACTAATAGTTGTATCCCACAAAAGTGATTGAAAAAATTTAAATTTTGTTTTATAGATAAAATTAAATACAGTCTGATCAGCCGCTCGGTTGTCAGGTGGGTAGTATACTTGCATTCTATCTTTTAAGTATCGAGTTTGATCTTCTAATGAGACGCAACCTTATTGAAACATCGGTTAGGCCCTCTCTAGCTTTTTAGTTCACGCTAATGTTTACTCTCTACACGAAGGAATTCACTGTATACTCAAATCTAATGCTCCAGAACACTCATGTAATTCGCTTTTTCTTATGTCTAATCATTGAATAACTCGATGATACACGTTCAGGTTTACCCATAATAAAAAGTTGAAATTTGAATTTGAAGCTGCTTTTCCAACCTGCAATCGGCCGTACTGTGTTGGGATGATTAATGCAAAATATTGGAATGGCCTGTCACGTTACACTTCTGGATCTGACAGATGTTACGATCCACTCGGGGAAGTCCGAAAAAGAGCTCTGGACGGTTTATTCGTCCTTGTTCGGAATCATCAGTGGTGTCTACAATTTTTGTGTTCCTGTCGGGACTCAAAACGTGAGTATTTGGGTTGGGATTGAAACCCTCCACGACCAACACTTTGACACATTACATGATGAACTCGTCGTGTAAATCAAGCGTGAGCTGGAAAGCTAGCAAGCACTGAACAGATGTTTCAACCTTGTTGGTTTCCATCAGCACTGCAAATCCTCCACCTAACTGGGCATCCTACCCGTGACCCCACGGGCAAAACGCATGCATGTTACCTACTGAACCACCGGGTATACAACATGTAATCAGGTTGTGAAATTTTCCAACCGAGTATATACATATATAATGTATATTCTTGGAGAATACATAACCGGAGCCTTCGGCTAACCAAACCTTGATCCGAAAGGCAGCGGGACGGTGTGTGAAAATTGCAATTCATGGGAGGCCGGTGTCCAGTTCATGGGATAATACGCCCTTTGGGTGGGGTCAAACGTCCAAGATGCCCAGTACATCTCGATGCCCAATCGAGCCGGTGACCACCGCCACAACCAAGAAGTTGTGTATGTGGTTCTCTATGCCTGTTCTAGATTTCGAATCAAGATGTTCATTTGATTCCCCTAGAAGAACTACCAGTGGTTCACCAACCCGGTTACAACCCCGGATGTAAGCTTTTCAACGAACTCACAACTCTGAGGGTGATGCTGAAGTGCATGAGGTTTGATGTCGCCATAAAGCTTAGAAAGATTGGCTGTGCTATAGAACATATATTCAAAATGAAAAACGGTCTGATCAGCTCCCCGGTGGTTATGCAAATCCTATGTTTTACTGTCTTTCCAAGCAAATTCATAGACTCTATGGTCTGTGTAATGTTTTCTGGTGTGAGTCTCACACTCCCATTTTTCACTTTTCGATATGCCGTTGACCAAATCATTTAATAATAATAATTTTGTTCGTATTTCTGAAAAACAAGTTATTACCTCGTTGTGACAGTGGTCACCTATTGGATTAGGCCGCGAGGTCTGTTGGGCACGTTGGATGTTTGACTTCACTTAAAGGACTTATGATCCGATAAGCTAGACTTGGGCCCACAATGGACTGCGTTTTTCACACACCGCTTGCTTCTTTGCCGGTCAGAATTTAGCTGGTCAAAGTCTCTCTCTGCAAACTCACCTACCCCAACCTAGGTAACCTAGCAATATTCTGCTCACTAACAAGTCATGGAGCTTCATCGTTTCGGGATTTCATTTGATTGACATACGTTCTTTTCTCAGACCATATATATATATATATATATATATCGGTGGTAAAGGACATTTATAGACTACCTTGAGTTGCTACCTGTGCTCCATCTACAAACTGTGCTTACCGGATCACAAAATATAAAATTTCTTCACCAATTTTGTTGGTGATGAAGGCCAGCGTCATTTCGACGCATTACATGTCGGTGACAGTATTACTCTGGATAAAGTACTCAATACATTCAGTGAACTTTGGGTTTCTCGACCCAGTACATGCACTGCTAGATACTGTTTCTCCAAACTGCACCAAAACGCTGAATAACATGCTAACGATTTCGTTGCAAGAATACAACAAGCCCTGCCAGACTGTCGGTATAATTAAAACACCAGTCAGATAGATTCAAGAAGAAATGGTGATCCGATGTCTGATTACTGGAACAAGGCGAGAAGTCAGTATCTGAAGAAGAATTTAAACTCACATGGGAAAGAGCATGTGCAGTCGTCCTACTTAAAGAGAATATCACCCATCAATTAAACCATTTTCCCAAAATTGAAACCCGGTAACTAACTACAAGAAGTGACGCCGAAGATTATTTCACCTACAAGATGTTCAGTCAATGAGTTGGCGTGTTACCGCTTTGAAAATAGAAATTTATCAGCAGACGAACGTCGCCACAAGTCAACAATGCGTCCCCACTTCCGGTTCATGCGGAAGCTAAACTGATCTGCCAGTTTACTTTTGTTCAGGTATCGTCTGCAGAGATAGTCATTCAGTTCATTTTGGCCAGAGAGCAACGAAGAGAGACAGTTGACTATCTGTTAGCTCCAATCAAAAGCCTCCCACCAAATCAGGTCTTCCATGCAGGTTACGGGCTAACTGGCCACAAATCTACTGGACTGGGTTAGTAATTCACATGTTACTCACAGTTACTTGTGAGTATTGGTGTGGGACAACTGATATTGATTGATTACGAACCATTGCGTTGAAGATGAGTCTCGTGGACTAGATCCTACGCATAAAAGGTTGCCAACTGGGCATATCTATCAATTCGCTTTCCCTTTCTCGTGTGTGAAAATGTTCATTCTTTAAAACAAACCATTTTCACCTTGGATCCCTTCAACGACCGATGTGCGTGTGTGTGCTTTACTCATTCATTGTGATGATATAAGACTCCAACCGCACTTGTAAAAAATCTGTTAAATCTTCAGTGTTTACTAAGAACATTATTCGAAAATGTCGCTTCATCTCACCTCTTAGGCCAAAATAAGTCGGGTTACGGCCACCCACACAAGTGACTCATCTTAATCTACATTGAGCGGACTAATATAAACTGTTGTCTCACACGCATATACCCAGATGATTGATCATCGAGCCATCCAGGGTTTTGCTGTGGCGTGGACTAATCTAAGTTCTGCCGCGCAGCATGTTTGACGCAGGTCGTTGGGTTGTAGTGCGCGCAAACCTCTGACAATGATGATAACTGTCATCGCGGTCATCTCACTCTCCCTTATGTACAGGTTTGTGGGTCACGGCGAGATCTACTAAAACATACCACATTCGGAGGTCAGTGCACAATGTGAAAACCAATGGGTCAGTTTGCGTTGCGTCGTGTGTTCATTTATCTTGATCAAATTCAGCGATTCTCTTCCGTATAAAGGCTGACCCTAGAGCCCAGTAAGTGGGTTGAATGTTTACATAGTCTTAATCGCTCTCCGCATCTGACAGATCCCACAGTGATCAGTAACAATCCATTATCTAGGGTGAACTTTGTCAAATATTTTGGTATAACCATAGATAGCAATCTTCATTGGTCAACCCACATCCACAACTGCATTGGTAAACTGCGACGCCTTTCATTTCAAATACGAAACCTCAGACAGTTTCGCGTATCCCAGTCAGTTATTTATACCTTTTAACAGTGTTTTTTCCCAACTTATCCTACTGTTCCCCAGTTCTTTTTTCCTGACCTACTCAAACAGGGTTTAAAAGTCTTACACCGCGGTCTAACTATTATTATCCGTGTCTCTTCTATTCCTGTGAATGAGTTAGCTGTGAAGCTTTCACAGTATCACGTAGCTTCCTCTGTGAAAGTTCCTGAGAGGATTCTCACAGATCGTGACCACCCATTGGACGCAGAGCTGACACGTTGTCGTTCCCATCCCTTCACACACATCCAATTCCGCGAAATTTCATCTCGAATGAACGCTTAGCGTAATTCACCTATACCCTATTTTGCCCGTTTAGTCACAAGCAAAGAGCGGACAATACGTGAACTTCGTCTTAACCTTGGTTTATGAAATGTTCCCATGACTATAAAAATTTTCTCCCAGTTAATGTGACGGTTGGGATGTATGATTTGTTTTTAAACTGAAATGTGTTCTGCAGTGCTTGCAAAAGTTATACAGAATACACAGTACAATGTGTGCCGAAAGGATGAGCGGGTCAATATTCCGCTTCCCATGAGGCAGAATTAGGGTACTACTCTTCTTTAAAATGAAACTAATTGGCACTTCATTTTTTGTGTTCTGGCTAGAGTTCTATACACAGCACTCTAATGATTCAAAGAAAACCTGCTGTGGCAGTTAGCTTGCATACTACTTGATAGGTCTATAAAAAACTATAAATTTTTACGATCAATCAAGCGTGAAAACATCGGGCATCACGTGTGGCGTTATAAAGAAACTGGTGCATTGGTCATTGTAAAGAGGTACGAGTAGCTTCCCTGATTTGGTTTAAACATTTAATACTGCAATAGCATCAAATAAAAACTGGTTAAACTTTGCCAGTCAGTGAAGGTTACTGATTGATGTTCTCTCTCCTGATGAGTTAGTGTACAGTTGCTGCTGATCGCTATTCAGTTTTTAGATTTCAGCGATTAGTTTTTCAATGTCCCCTCACACTTATTCTTCCCAACCAGTCAAACAGAATTTGTTTTCGGTTTGGTTGCCCTGTTGGCCGAGGCATTCCTGTTCTTCTTTCATCTACATGGTCGGACCCCGGTCGATGTGTATGTCCATATGCTCCTGGCTGGCATGATTCTGGTCTCCATCCTAGCCGGTGTGGGTGAGGTGCTTCAACCACGTCAGCTTGTGTGGCTCTTGGTTCGAAATTTGGGCATCTTGGTTCAAGGAACTTGGTTCTGGCAGGTCAGAAAGCATTTTGATAATGACCATTCAAATGACTCTTATATTTGGTCATGTGATCCTATGCGTACGAATTTGCGCGTCCACGTCAAAATAAATGGTGATGCTGGTGATTACTTAGATTATAATCATAATTATAATAAATGCCTGTAATAAAATGTGATACTGGTGATAGTGAGAATAATATTGTGATATATATACATGATTATTATTGCATTTTATGTGCAAATTACCGGGTCCAAAAATCATTGTGACCTGTATATTCACCGATGACATCAAACTAGTTAAAATCATGGCGTTCCAACTTCCCAGTATAGTATGGTATAGTAGTATAGTATAGGGCTAGTATAGGGCACATCTATTCTCCGAATCATCATCATCAACATACAGTGTAATACATTGAAATGAACTTAACTGATTGCTGCCAAACTCGCAATGCATTCAAGTTAAGTGAGAATGTCTGAGGGTAGGGGTTGGGTTTATTTTGGTGGACGGGAAAAGAAGGCGAACCTCTATGATCAATAGAGTACACAGTCCAAATGTGCACACACTATTTCAGGCATTCTGGACTGATAAGAAATGACAGCAAGGTCGCCACTGCTATCGGTTTGCTGCCACAACCTTCAGTGTCTCCAACCAACCAGTTGCAGAACCTTTCGGATCCCAACCCGAAAGGCGCGAGATACCTACTCTACCTAATCGATCTTCACGCCCCCCTTCTCTTAATGTGTTGATCTTCATATGGCGTTATCCAGTCTGCAGTGGCCACTACAAATAAGGAACGGTGCGGGAGATGACCGTTAGATATGCACCAAACATACCCTAACCAACGGAGCCTACTGTGGTGAATTCGATGCGATAGCGAGTTTGCGTTCTATGCATTCCCAAACAACCGACAACTTACGTCTAGGTTACTAACACATTCATCTTATCCAACCTCACCCAAGCTAGGTAAGCATCGATTGTCGAAAACTACTAGACGACGGATGCCTTCTACTCACAAATTCAAGGTCTCACAATCGTAAAGTAGAACGGACTGNCCGTGAAACGTCACGGCATCGCCACAGGTGCTTTAGTCTTGCGTATGCTGTTCGAGCCTTCGAAATGCGGGCGGTTGTTTCCTTCGATGCGCTATCCCCGTTGGTTATGCAGCTACCCAAGTGCGAGAAGCAGTCAACTTCAGCTAATTCCCGATCGTTTAGTTTCAGAACGGGTCTCGGTGACACACAGTCTTGCAGCATCATTTTGCACTTTGAAGGTGCAAAGTGCATGCTGAACGGAGCAGCAGACTTGCTAGTCTATCAAGATCTCGTTGCACATCCTGCATACATTCTAACAGGCAAACGATATCGTCAGCAAACTCTAGATCGCACAGCTTTTCTCCAGCTGCCCATTCAATTCCTACATTTCGGACACCACGTAGCGCGTTCTCTAGTGTTTCGTTTATGAGGAAGGTATATATACATATATACATATATATATATATACTTTATATATATATACTTTCCAATCTTGCAGTAGATAGGTGGCCTCGTCAAACTTCTTTTGTTTCAAAGACTTGTTTCTTTATCACCGTTCAACCGCTCTTTTTAGTGGCATCTACCAATATTGAGCTTCAAATTTTCACCTTCGGAGAACGGCAGCAATCGATGAAGTTCACTTCTCTGTATTTCTCTGTGCAGCGATGTCTATCGTGATTCCAATTATAATGACGATAATGATAATGGAACTAAATTCACAAGTTTGCACTCTCCACGTTGGAATTCACCAAGATATTTTCCGCTCATCACTGAATCCGTACCGGATCAAATATTACCAATGAATGGCAAGAGGACTCTGTTCCTATAGCTCTACCAATTGGAAAGTTTCTCGCATATTTGATGTATGCGTAATTTTGGATTGTATGAAGCTAGTATATCATTTTCACTTACTTATTTACCAGTTCACCGTCGTGGCATATATAATCTCGGTCTTTTGGTGTCAATTCTCGCTCGTTTGATGCATCCTGTTTACACGTGTGTGTGTTTGTTACATTTCGCTATTGCCCTACACCTTGTTGCCAGTTCGCAACTCACACAGTTGGCACGTATCATTGCGGACGTGTTCCACAATACGCCATCACGTTTCCTTATGGTAATCATGGTCACATAGTAGTTTACTCTGCAACGATTCGCCCGGAAAGGGGGGGGGGGCTGCAAGCAACGCGCAAAGACTCTCAGTCGACATGTTCATTGTTCAGGCCGAATATTTTCGGGTGGTCCGTGTGAGAAGATGTTTGCCCTCATAACCCGCACTTCTTTGGCTTTGTCAATCGTATTGTACTGGAATGATATGTTCTTGCATTTCACTCAAAAATGTTTTCACCGTTACCTTGGGACAAAATACTGGAATTATCATTCATGAAAATGATGAGACCGAAATCAAAATGTTCAGTTTTGTTGATTGACAATTAATTCTGGTAGAACCCATTTGTCCGTTAGAGTACAATTGTATTACCATTAAATTTTAAACGGGATGCTAAGCAGAGAAAAGTGTGTTGGATTGTTTTGTGGGAACTGCAGCCAAATAGGTCGGGATTGAGTGAATGCCTGGAGTCGTTAAGAATCAGATGAGTGAAACAATCACCTTTACATAGATTGTGCGTACAAGAGCAGTCTGCCATCCGGAACGCTTACCCTGACCAGAAGATTTGGTCCTCATAATTTCATGATATGCAGATAACATAAAACAGGAAGAATTATCTTTTATTCGTAGAAATAATTCCTGGGGTACGAACGACACCAGAACATAGTGAAAACTATGAAGTGAATTCCAAGGCGACGGCTAACATGATCGTTGCACGGGCAACTGAAGCACGTGCATTTCCCAAAAACGTGTCCTCATATAACGGTGCTCATTGTGGTGGTGTTTCATTTCACACAAAAAATCTCATTTACGTTTTTCGTATGCGCCAAGTGTGTGTGCGTGTGCGCGCTCGCGCGTTATCCTATGGTTTTCCTATCCTACCGCGCTCGTCCGTTTACTCACGCTACAGTAGCTTAAGCAGAGAAGAAAAAAATGGGAAACATCTAGTTCATAATGTAGTCATGTCCTGCTGTGAGTAGTAGTCATACTGCAAACCCGGTGCGAGTTTTCCAGTCACACTGAACGTGAGTTGATCCGCTGGCCGCCTTTGCACACACACATCTCACTGTTGATTGTTTTCGTTTTCTCTTCCAGGTCGGTGCTGTGCTTTATCCCGCGGCATGGTGGATGCCCACATGGAATGAGTTGGCCAAAGAAAGTGTACCTCGGGCAGCTAATCTATTCTGTTATCACATCTTGATCGATTTTATGGCTATGATCGTGATCGCGTGCTCTTTGAATGCACTTTACGGTCAGTCCCGGGGACGTTTTCCCGCGGTTCGCATCCCTATGCCCGCAGTTGGACAGCAGCACTCCTCGGACGCGCACATGATCGATCCGAACGAGGAGCATGAGATGTGGCGAAGTTCAACCATGGTGGAAACCAATGCGGAGTAACATCTGAATCTGGAGAGCAATCACCGACAACTGGGCGAAGGGGCTTGAAGCCCTAGTTGAAATAACCCCCACAAACATTTTTCACACAGTACAGCATATTTGCGTAGAAAAATGCCACACTTACAAGCCAGAAGTTTCTTTTCTTCTCCTTTTTTAAAAGTAAAAACCAAGTTCTCTTGTTCCATCTCATCGCACACTTATTATCTGTTGCTTCAGATGAATAAATATGGTCATGATCCAAGGTGCTCTTTAGCTATTTCAGTTGAACTCACGCTGATCAAGGCGGAGGGATAAACTAATGTCGAACTGGCGGAACGGGAGCAAATGCGTAGCTAAGATTCATACGTTGTCCATGCTTCATGATTGAACTGAAACCCAGATTAGTTCTGACACAACCCTATGAAGTTTTTAGATGTTTAGATATTTCAGATGTAACATCATTTAAGTAAATCAATGTGTGATCAACGAGAATTCAACCTCATACTCTAATTGGTCGCTTAGGTCTTCAAAGCCGTATTATATCTTTCCCATTACACGAATAATTGATGGTTGATCACTTGATCAACAAGGTCTACCCAAGGTAATATCAGTGATAAGTCATTCATCTGTCGTGCGCTACAGATCGTATCTGTATTGTTGTCTGTTCTACCAAATTGATGAGTGATTCATTTTCGTAGCGGTATAAAGAAAGAAATGTTAGGGAATCAGTTCATGCCATTCCGAATCGAAAACGCTAAGGAGAGTAAATGTCGTCTCGGAACAGGAGGTATGTTGGAGTTACAGTACAATCGGACCGAATCATTCAGGAGGTAATATGGTGGATTCGAATGAAGCGAACTTAAAATCGCATGACCACGGATCGGTTCTTCTTTTCATCTGATTGGAGTTATAAAACAAAGTCGAATCTGGTTTCTCAGTCACCGGTTTGGCGGAGAAGAAGGAATCACTTTGGCAAATTGCAATGATGAAAGGTTGCAACGGATTGCTGTGAAAGGATGTCGGAACATACCAAGTGGCAAAGGAAGGGATCGTGGCTACAGTAAAGCACTACACAATGCGATTTGTTAAGGGAAATAGGTGCATCTATGAGAAAAAGTAAAGTTAGTATTGACATGAGACGGGTTTGTCTGACGCGAAGCGCGAACAACTGCAGAATGATTAGGTTATTCGGTCAACTTAAATGGAATCGGTCAATTCAACCTTTGACAATCCACTTACTGCATGTTGTCCACAAACGGAATGTCCACCATGTTCTAGAATTGGGCAAAGTGAAAACATGTTCGATAAAACCTAAACTGGGTCTAAAACCAGTATGGTTCTCACGCATACACTGTTAACGTATGGCAGATTATGGGTAGAGTATGATGTTGAGAATTTTAGCGACAATGTTGGCTAAACTAACTACACTGTGGTTTGCAGGATATGACAGGATTAAGACTTGCAGCAAAACCAGCCGGAGTTCACAAATCCCCTTATCTCGTAGTTATTATCCTTAGTATTGTTGTGGCGTTCGCACCCTGCTTTCTGCAAGCCGGTAGGTACAAGTATATGAATGAAATGACACGAGATTACCGGATACGCATGTCTGACGAGTGGCAAGAACTGTGAAATCGGTCGTGTGCTTCCGGGGTAATGTTGTTCAGTCATTCAGAGACTACCTATTATCATATTGGTTGGGACATGCGATACGCATGACACCAACTAGGTCACCACGAGCGATGTTCGCCGAGGCAGGTAGTGGGTAGAAAAAAGGCCCATGATGGTCAAGCTAAGACATGAAGGTATGAAAACCCTAGCCAGGAATCTTGGTCATATACGTCCCGTTAGGGTCCCTGGATGGGGATCTCGTGACAATCTTGGCTGGGAGTCGTAAACAGTGGCGTTCGTGCCTCTTCTCAATTTCTTTGCAACGTTAGTCCACTGAAATTCCCAATTTTCTATTCGACTCCACTTTCAACCTTTTTGATCGTACTGTATTCAACCTTTAGCGAGTTATATACAAGCTTTCAGCCAAAAAATAGACCACCGTTACAATTCTGGTAAAAACAGGGGGAAAAGTTAGATGTGAAACTGTAATAATCGAAAGGGAACCGGAATTGAACAGCGCGAACTTAAACTCGGACTGGAAAGCCACTGAATTACGCAACGCAAGGTAAAACCAAGACGAGCTGTGGATACAGATGATTCTATTGAGAAGAGCACGCAAATATATATCACATGCGACCAACAGTTACTGGTCGGTTCCTGGACGTCCAATCGGCGACAGTGTGGTTTATTATTATACCTTCATGTATTCGGCCAATCTGGTTGATGCCAATCGGGACCACAGGATTGGTCGGTTATTCTATTCTTGATTGGTTAGCCGGAAGCTGTACCGCGGTGCGTGAGTATTCGTTGCACGATCACCACAGAAACGTACGAAAATATGAGTTAATTACTAAATGCATTAGAAAGCTCAGAACAAACACTTTCCTTGTCGGTCAGTATTCGGGCAAAATAGGGTACCAACGAGTTTCTGTATGTAGATATACGAGACGGGATAACTTTTAACTTCGAACGGGTGGAGGGATGGGATTTGCATGCACATAAGTCACTGTGCAGGGGATTGGTGCAATCAGATAGGATATTTCATGTGAGTAATGGAGGATTTGATTAAATTTCATACGGGAATTCGTCGTTTATATAGTCAATAAAGCGCGAGCTGAAAAGCTAGGAAGCACTGGACAGCTGTTTCAACCCGGTTGACACCCATCTGTCTAGTTCTTCCTCTCACTCTCGAATCATTCCAGATGCCTCTTGTTTAGGTCACCCATCGGATATCACTCAGTGTTTGACCAGTAGGGCCAAAGAATTGGAAGTTATAGGATTGGTGAAGCCAAAATCCTCTTTTCACTTAGCCAAGTTCAACGCCTGACACTCTACGAGATCGGGAAACAAGCTGCCATGGCTAGAACCGATTAAACTTTCAATTTAGACATATGTTGTGTTGTAGAAACACGCATACAATACTCTACTTCAATCATTACCCTCCGTTTATCCTCACACTTCATCCTCCATGTGTCAGACGGTTCGGCATCCGAAGCTGAGCTAGTGTTGAAAGCGCTTGCTTCACTGGATTCCAGTCACTAGCCGACTGTGCATTATACGTCTCAACGGTTTAGAGCGGGTCAACAGCTGCAGAACGAATGACGTTCGTCTAAAATGGGCTCTTCCCATCGGCTTTTAAGGGTGGAGGTTGATTGTTGGTGTTGGAGTTGACGAAAATCCTGGGTTCGGTATGGAAGAGTGAACAGATTCCAATTGGATGGTGTGATTCGGTCATCTACCCGATTTACAAGAAAGGCGACAGATCCTCTTGAGAAAACCATAGAGAAATCAGTTTGGTTAATATTGTCTCTAAACTTCATACTGGCATCATACTCCTTCGATTGTGTGCCACGCGTGAAGGGTGCTCGCGTTAGAACCAGGCTGCTTTTAGATCTGGTCGAGGTTGTACAGACCATATTTTCACCCTTGGCTCCGAAAGCCTCGGTATGGTCGGGTTAGGTGTTTTGCATTGTGGTTGGTTCCTTGCAACTCACGAAATGCTCCTGTACGACCAAGCGTCTCAAACAGCCTCTGCTGAGGAAGCCCCCCTACTCACTGCTTTCTCGAGGCGGTGCTGGCTAAAAATCTTGATTCCGAACCAACCAAGAAGAGGCGTACGAATCACACCCACCCACCCACACCTTCCTGAATTCAGACCCCGTGTGAACTAGGGTTTTCATCCTTCGTCTAATTCTGGAGCACCGAAATTCTTTTCATTGACCTACTATCTCGATCTTCAAGCGTCCTTCGGCTCAGTCAACCGCTTTATACTCTGGCGCTGCTTATCTCTGTAATTTGTACCCGACAAGTTTATTTCAATATTGCGACCCCTCTATACTACTAGCCGAACCCGAGCTTACTGCATTTTTTCGCCCAAGTTCACTGCAGAAGGCGGTTTTCGACAGGGTCGTCCTCTCTTCCTCCTTTTGTATCTCACTTTGTTATAGATTGATTGTGGAAACAACCCTTTCACCGTGCGAGGATAGTGGTATCGAGTTGTTCCCGATGGGAGGTTGTTTGATCTTGAGTACACAGACAAAACTGTACTGTTAACTGAAGATCTGGATAGTTTGATTGCTAGTGTAACAGTATTTGGTATGTGTTTTGCACCTTCAAATTGTCCAATATTGCCACAATACTCGTTCGGTCCAGCTCCCAGCCTCACTCTAACTGGGAAGGAAATTAAGCTGGTGGAAAAGTTATTTTTTATTTGGACATGTGTATCGTGGCATGATCCCGACATTCGGCTGTCCGTGAAGGGTCGAGTGTATGCCACATGTATTTGGCCAATTCTGGCACTGATTTGAACATTCCCCTTACTCCTTCATCCAAATGGGCAGTCATTAGACAGCAAATGAAACTGGTGCACGAAAATGCGCGAACACAGTAGTATATAGTAAATATTATCAAATAAAAAACTTGCTGTGAAATTACAGGGCCAATTTTTCAATGGTCGGCATTTATCTGTTACGGGTCACGAATCACAGTCGAAGGAAAAACAGAATTTTACTACTAATCATATGCCAAATTCTTCTCTCCTTGAAACGATGGAAAAGCATCACAGAACTAGCGGTTTGTGTAATCAAAGAAACCAGTAGGATGTACAAAGAAATGTCATTGGTTAAACAGGTTTTAACCAATAACTTGCTTGTGTTCTCTCCGTCGCACAGCTTCTGTTTGAACTGCTTGTCTCGTGACTGGTCGATACTTTTGGTCTGTCGTTTGTTGTCCTGAAACGCGGAGCCCCCTGACTGGAGTTATCTCAGAGGTTTAAACTACTACATTTATTCAATACATCTACTAGTCAGTTCTGTCAACGGGTTTAATACGTCTAAGCACTGAGATCAGTTAGCTGCAGTCGAAGTGGATGACGTCCATAAAATAGTAGTGTTCATGGCATATTTTCATTAACA